CTCCCAGGAGTCAAATCCCCTCAAGATTTCCCCTGAAACCCTGTACTGCAGTTTGTAGATCCTTTGTCAGTGTCAGCCATGCGGATGAGTCACGGCCATTGCTTGACCAGTTTGCTCTCTGTGAAAGCCTGACAGAATGTTTTCTCTCTAGGTGACCTTGTCAGATACAAAAGTTACATTTCTTGTTATATAGGTCTTGCTTTATCTTGATCTTAACCATCCAGCAGAAAAGTATAAAAACAAAGTATAAAAGGTAAAGCCATATTAATATCCTGAGCTATAAAAGGCTTAAGTCAACAACTTCTGACACTGCCAGTCCTATGGATAACCCACTACTATCATGGACTACTGGACTATATTGGAATATTTTGCTGAATTCATGCACCTACAATATTTAAAGGGCAATGGAATACCCACCTCTGACAAAACTAAACAATAAAAGGGGATATAAATGAAGGACCATTTTGTACCTGTAGATACAAAATAGTTAGGATAGATATACAGCTACTTTCTCAATGCAATGAGAAGAAAGATTTGTACTAATAGTATTTAGACAGGATATCACATCTACATCTTGTACTATTAAGAACTACTATGAAGACAACAATATGCAATGTATTAATTATTGTAACTGTCCTACTAACCTGTTTAGAAACTGTCTCATTGCTATTTGTTTCTCAATAAAATTAATTTTAAAAAAAAGTTCCTAGGAGAGAGTGTGGAAGATTCCCACCCCATGCTGACTAGCCACCAGGATGCCCTTGTAGGTCGCTGCATGGATGCAGGCTCATCAAAGGTAAAAGTATTTTTAAGCATCTCATTAGCAATGAGAAAACAATTTTTCAGCAGTAAACTGGAGGTTGGATAAAGCAGTATCTCTTACAGTATGGAAATTCTAGGATCTTGTAGTAAGAAAATAATGCAAATCCAAACATTCACAAAAGAAACAATTATGTGCAAACTCTCAAAAAACAGAGGATTCTTCCTAAGTCATTTTCTGAGATCAGAGAAAGTCTGATTATTGAACCTAAGGCATTACGTTAACAGAAAAATTATATGCAGATGTCTCTCATAAGTACAGGCATAAAAATTCTTTAAAAAGAAAAAAGAGCAAATTGAATGCAGCAATATATAATAGTATGTTGTAATACAATGTGAGGCACTCATCACAGGAATATGAGATTACTTTAATACTTGAATATCAATCAACATAAATCATCACATCAGCAGAGTAAAGGAGAAAAGTCATATAATTCTCAAGAGGCAAAAAAGGCACTTGATGAAAACCAAAAATCTATTCATCATGAAGGATAAAGGATTTCAGTAAATAGGAACAGGAAGAAAAATGTTTAATCTTTTAAATGATATCTACAATGGCCACAAGATAGCTCAGCAGGCTAAGCGCCTGCTTAGGCAATTGCAGGGACTGGAATGGACCCCCAGCACCACTGCTGTGCCGGCCAGGCCCCTGGGGAGGCTTAGCCAGCCCCGCCTGTAACCCCAGTGCTGGGGAGGCTGAAAACAGGAGGATCACTATGAGTCCAAGCTGCGCAGTGAGACCCTGTATAGCAAATATATATAAATAAATAAATGATATCTACAAAAAATCTGTAGTCAACATCATAGTTAATGGGGAAATACAAAAGAATTTTTCTCTGACATTAACAATAAGAAAAAGGTGTCCACAATGATTGTGGTTTTTACACTCCAGGATAGGCTCCTAGCAATACTACAAAATATGAGAAGAAAATAAAGGCACAAAGATTAGAAAGTTAGAAGAAATTTACTACTACATATTCTGATTATGTACATAAAAATTTAAAACAATATACAAGCTATTATTATTAAGTGCATTTATTAAGACTGCTGAGCTGAAGGTTAATAACAAAAGTCAAGTACCTATATAATAGCTTGGAAAATAAAAATTTAAAGTATCTTTTATAATATTAAATATTTCAAATATATAAAAAAATATAATTATAGATGTGAAAGCTCTCTAGAGTGAAAATTAACAGTACTAATTTAAAAGTATTGTTAACACTACTAATTAACAGTAGTAATTTCACGCTAGTAATTAACGGTACTAATTTAAAAGAACCTAATGGAGTTTTTCAATTTTTACTTTTAATTAGTCTGTTTGCAGTACATAATGATTACATTCTTCATGGGGACTGGTGCATGTACATACCACATGGTGAATTTTATCTCCTCCATGTGCTTTTTCACTTCTTCCTCCTCTTGATCCCCTTCCCATTTGAGAAAAACTGGTGTCCCCTTCCTATATCTATCTTTTCCTTTGCGCTTTATTGGGTTTTTCATATAAGAAAGCCCCACAGCAGGTTTCCCCTGCAAACCCCACAGCAGAAGGAAAGAGTTCTTTAGTATTCTCTTTCCTCTTACATTTTCAGCACCTGAGCAATCCCTTGTATAAACAGGTAATAAACACGTGCTAATGGAATAGAAAGTTATCTGCTAGGTACACGGTTAGAAAATAGCTGGTTGGGATTGGCAAAGGAACAGGTGGAGGACAGATAGTGGGGCCCAGGGTATTATCACTGAACCAAAACTAAAAATTGACCCCCTCCAATCAAGTGCATGTCACAAGTATCCACAACTACCATGGAATTATACTAAAGTACATTTATTTAGAATTATAGGGGGAGGGCGGAGAAGCTACATGGTCAATGAATCAAAATTATACAAATTCTAGGGAAAAAAATATCAAGAACTTTGTCCTTGCCTATCCATGTGGTGTTTTAATCTGATTAGCTTAATGATGTCAGTCATAAGGTACTCTGGAATTTAAGGGATTGAAAAGGGCAGGAATAAGGTCACTAAGGCTGAGCAGGTGGGCAAACACACCTTTGGTTGGGAATAGCTTTTGTCACAACTCAGGGCCTGCTCTGTGCTTTCCACTGAACCAACAAAAATCCGGAGGAAAGCGTCTCTGTAGAAGCGTCTTAGTGACCCCAGGATTCAGCAGCCCAGCCCTCCCTGTGCTTCTCTGCACTTTCTCACCATAGAATGGCACCCCCAGTGCAGGTTCTTGGCTCAGAAAATCCTGGTCTCACCTAGCTAGCAGACAGCTCCCTTGGCTTTCGAGTGTATGTCCTATCAGTTGGTGCCACCATGGGGAATGTCTTAGCCCTTAGGCCCTGGCTTGCTGTGAGCAGGAGGAAGTCTGGGTCCCCTTCCCCTGGCTTGGTGACTGAGTCTGTCTTCCTGTGGTGAAGCCTGTGCCTTGGAATGAAAACGCCCCAACTCACTGAGCGCTGTCCTCGGGATGCTCCCTAAATGATGCCCAAGCAGATGGGTCACAGCAGCTTCGCCTGCCCAGTGACTTGGTCAGATGTGTCAGTAGGGACTCTTTCTACCGGGCCAGATATAGGACAAGAGCCTCAGTACACTGACAAGCCCTAGGAGCTGCGCATTTTCCTCTCCTCCTCCTGTTCCCTATCTTAACCAGATACGAAGGAAGAACTGCATCAGACCAATGCAGGATCACACAGGCAGAAAGCCACTCAGTCTCCCAAAATGCAAACTACCCTTCCCTCAGTTTTAAATGTTTACCATTTTTTAAATGTGGCAATTCACTACCAATTTGATTTGAGACTGTCTCATTGCTATTTGTCTCTCAATAAAATTATGGGGAAAAATTAATTTTTTTTTAAAAATGGAGTGCTGATATATGCGATAGCATAAATCAACCATGAGAACGTTGTATTATGTGGAAAAATGCCAAACACAAACAGCAACCTCACATGTGATTTCTTTTACATGAAATACAAATAGAAAGTAGATGAGTGATTGCCAGAGACTGGGAGGGGGGAGGAAGAAAGACGGCTAAGGTGGTGGGGTTTCCTTTCGGGTCATGAACATGGTCTGGGTGGTGGCAATGTTTGCGTGGGTATCAAGATGTAATAGAGGGCTAGGGAGATGGCTCAGTAGAATAAGCGCTTGCTTGGCAAGTACAAAGGCCTGAGTTCAATCCCCGGTTTAAAAAAAAAAAAAAAGATGTAGTAGAAACCACTGAATTGTGCGGACTTAGAAAAATAAAAAAGAAGTGGCAAAAGTCTAAAGATGTTAGCCTTGAATGTAAATATGATACAAGATTTGGAAGGAGGAATTACAGCAATTGGCACAGTCTGCACCACAATTTACCTTCCAAAAGTAAAATGAGAGCATTGCCTAGGTTCCCATTAATAGCCGTGAGGGAGAAAGCTCCGAGTGCTGTGAGAAGCACTCGTAGAATCGGGCCTCTGGGGTGTGAGATTATCGGGGGTGCTGAGGCTGCATGAAAGGAGCTGAGATGATCTGACTGGAAATTTGTCTCATGAACGCCTAGCTATCCCACCATAAAACTGAAGTTAGTGCTCACAGTGAGCATTTACCAAGCACCGCCGAAGCCCAGGCACCGTGTGAAGTATTTTACGTCCCTTACTGTCACTGAGTATCATAGCCATCCCAGGAGCCATCCTAGAGGCACAGGGAAATTAAATGAGTCAGTGACACAGGAAGTTGAGATGTGAACAGTCTACTCTCCTTACAGCTTCTACATCTCCCAGAGTCCTCCTTGCTCCCTGCCCATGCCTACCCTACCTAATGTTCACATATATCAGATTGGGCCAATCTGGGAACAAAGGTGAAATTGTTCTAAGGCAGAGTATGATGCAGGTGGAGGTGGAAGAGGTGGAGGTGGAGGTGGAGGTGGAGGTGGAGGTGGAGGTGGAGGTGGAGGTGGAGGTGGAGGTGGAGGTGGAGATGGAGATGGAGGAGGAGGTGGAAGTGGATGTGGAGGAGGTGGAGGAGACATCCTTCTTAAGGATATGTCAGTCACCCCCATTGATTCGCAAGCAATAAAACTGAGGCCCAAGGGAGAAGTGAGTGGCTTACAGCCAGCCATAGGAGTAGGAAGTAGCCAAATCCAACTAATGCTCACATTTTCATGATTCTAAACTCACCAATCTTCCCATGAATCCTTGCTGATTCCTGCTCCTCAGATAACGTCCTACACTCGCCACCACTACCTCAAGTTGACAGGGGTGCTGGAAGCAGCCCTGTGCCAGTACCCAAAAGTCGTATTTGAAAGCTACAAAGCCTGAATTTTTTAGCAGGGATTTTTAAAGCTCATTAGCAGCTCCCCAAACCATCCCTTAGCTACAAGTTTTATTTTTTGAGAAGGTTCATTTTCAAGAGAATGATACAGTGAGAACATTTCTGCCTGGAAAATTTCCCCTGCCTTCCTCACCACAAAGATCTTAGCTCATCACTCCTATCAGAGGCACCATTTTACAGTCATGTGAGCATGTTAGTGACTACTTAGCAAGGGCTGTTTAGTGGCCAAAAGTAGATAATGCAGCTTCACTAGGTGCCTAAAATTACCCCCAGGGAGCAGTTTTAACATGAAGAAAATCACCCTCACTCAGGCAGCTGTCTAGCAATTTGAGGAAGGAAATCCATCAAGTGTCCAGGATACCCAGTCATTTTTGGTAATTTTCCATTTGGGACAGCAGGTAGCACTTGCACAGAGAGCCAGAGAGCCAGAGAGCCAGAGAGCCAGAGCCAGAGCGAGAGAGAGTGAGAGAGAGCGAGAGAGAGCGAGAGAGAGCAAGAGAGAGCGAGAGAGAGCGAGAGAGAGAGAGAGAGAGAGAGAGAGAGAGAGAGAGAGAGAGAGACCCCACCATCATTACCACAGGTCCAGTTTTGTACACAGCATCATCTGAACTCAGGCATCACTAAGAAGAGAACAGATGGGCACCAAGAGGAGGGAGACAGATGTACCTTTGAAAGGGAGTTAGGTTTAGAGCTTCACGCCACCAGAAATAAATAGTAATTGTGCCACCAAAATTAGTCACTTGGAAGGGCATCCAAGGAATATTCAATGAACTTAAAACTTTCACAAATGTTGGAGAAACTGTTCACATAGAATGCTCTTCCCTCACAAATTTAGCTCGAATTTGTTGCAAATGTTAAAAGACATCTTATAAGGTTTCCAGGTTCACTAATTGAACAGGTCAACAGTGGCAACAAAAGCTTTATATTTTTTTCAAGATAGATTTCGGTGGCCCATTACAGTTTACTTTTGCACTGGACATTCTGTGTGCATTAGGCATTGATGTATTCAATACAAATTGACCTTCTTTCTCTGTGTGCACACAGAGCCAATCACTTGCCATATGCTTGTCAATAGTATCTATTCTATAAGGGATCGCGAGGACTGTATTCATTTTACAGAGAACATAGGAATGTCACTTACTCCAGATCACAGAGCTGTCAGTGATTAAGTCACAACCCCAAAGGGGTCCTTTCTGTTACTAAAGAATAGTAAGTCCCACATTGGGTTTCTGAATTTGATAAAATCAGACACTCCAGTTGCTAAATATTGAGAAAAGATTGTATGTGCATTGCACTCAGGGAGACTTGGATAGCCTGGCCAGGAGGCAATGTGTCTTATCTTCAACCTCTGAAGCCAGGTTTACAAAGTGTCAGATGAGGAAGCGTCCCTCTTAATATTAATCTGTACTTTTTGATTGATGTTCAGTTTACAAAGCTATTTGAAACCATCAGCAGTGGAGTGGAGGATGAGATAAGAGACCAAATCGAATACACAGCTGTAGAAACAGCATCATTGCAATATCCCTACCCAATTCTAACCCACTACATTACATGGAGAGAATAAGATCTCCTTGGCCAGATCCTCCATCATTAAAATAAAGACTACAGGGGAAACACTCAGGGACTCTACCTCTTGAAAAGTTGTCCCTTGGGCAACCTCAGCTCACATCCCATCCTTTCATCTATCTTGAAATTCTGAGAGAAGTCTACACTGAGTATCAGAATTCAGCCCCATCCTGTTATGCACACATTCAAGCTGTCTTGAAAAATAAGCAAAGACAAGAAGTTTCCTTGGTTTATCATCCATCATTTTGTTTTCCTCATCAGATGATAGCATAGGCTCTGCCAACATAGAAAAACAAAAAGGTGCTATCCAGCCTGAGAAAGTAGCATTTTTGGACAGAGAAGTTTCCTCTGTGTGTTGTGGCATCCTCCCTTCCTGGGTGCCTTCTCCTTCTGCTGTGACTATCTCATCCCCTGAGATCAGGCTGGCCCAAAGTTGGCACAGTACCGTGTTAGGGTAGCCACCCTCTTCTCACTCCATTCATCTTTTCTGAGGCAGCAAGCTTGTCCCTCTTTCATCAGAGGTCAGCAGACAAATTTAATCTATTTCTTTGTTAGAGACATTGACGGAAAAGCCATCCATTTCCCAGTCATTCTTAGATTAGGTCAACTCATAACAAATCCACAGGGGCCGGAGCAAGGTGATGTCAATTCCCCAGTGGCCACGTTGTGTTAACAAGATGTTTTTATTCTTCAAATTTAAAAGTGCCAAGGATATTTGCCCCAGCATTTAAGCCCCCAATCAAGGAACTTCATGATCAGCTCCATACCCGATGCGCCTAATCCAAGATGTGTAGGAGGGTGTTAACAGTATGGTATCCTCCAAACACTGCTGCATGTATACATTCTGAGGAAAAGATTGACAGTGTTTCTCCAGGGGCAGTGGAAGAGATAGCATTATCTTCAGGGTACTTGGAGATGGCCCTGCCCACTGTATGAAGAAAGAATCAAAATAGAACAAAAAAGTGTGGCTTTTAAGGTTGGGTTCCCTACCTACGAAGTTCTGCCATAACATAAGGGTACAAATCCATTTCCTGATCAAGCTACAGAAGATTGCCATAGTCACTCCTGAAGTTCTGTACCTTCTCTTACCAAGTTGGGTGCTCGTGGCTAAGACAGTAGGAATGGATAGATCTTAAAGTTAATAATAATATTTACCCAAGTGGGTGATGTTGAGTCTCACACCCGTGACATGTTCTTAAAAAGTTACTCAAGCTTCCAAGACACTCATAAAGGCAGGCTTCGCTCCAGAATCAAGTGCCGTTTCAATTCCAGCCAGGACCACCTTCAAGGACAAATCACTTCCCTGAGCCTCTCTCCAACCATGCAATTATCAAGCAGGAAACTGGCCACAGAATCTAGGAATGAGTGGATAGGTTTTCAAATGATGTTTATCACTCAGACTAAACCAGCCTTGTGGCTGAAACAAGCCTCAGAGATACAGTACCAGGGAGTGTGCCACTGCAGATTGATTACTCAACTTGATACAGGTAAGCAAAAAGCTTGAAAAAGTAGCACTGGAGGGTGAATGAAAGCACTTGTTGAAGAGGAGATCTCTGATCCATACAACCAGACAAAAACAATGCAATCTTTCGGACAAAAGGATTCCCATAACACAAAGTTCTACGAAGTTTGTTCTTCACTAACACAGGGCCAAGGCTTTCTTAAGGTCCTCTAAGAAGTTAGTGAAGTTTCTGCTCTTGGTTTTAAAGCACTTGGGTTTCCTTCATCTTATTTTACCAGAATCAGGGGAAATCAGCACATATGACTCATTTCTTACACATTTATTTTTCATTACTACCCAATATTTATCCAGAATATGCAGATCCAGAAATTCTTCCCTCAGAGTCTCTGCTTTCCCTCCTGCCTTACTCTGCTACAATAATTCCAAGCAAAATTTCCACCTTTCAACTCTTACCTGAAAATCAGTGACTGAATGTCATTTGGGGAATATCAAATGCTGGGGTTTGGCAAAAACCTTTGCACACCCAGCCAACTTGTTTTGTGTAAGAAGGACATTAAATCGATATCTGTCTGATCCACTTACACATGGATCATCCAAAAGTCATTCTGAAAGCAACAGTTCACTCCCAGAAAACCTTTATACATCTGTTTCCAGAGAGATGCAAGAGACACTGTAAACCTTCTTGCACCAAGACAAGGACCATGCAAATGCCCCACACATCAAAGCCTTTGGGAAACCCAAGGTTTAGGTCTTCTCTAAACAGTTCACATCAAAAAGAGTCTCTCACTCTCTCATTGCCTCTAAGGCATAAAGACCCATCTTTTTACTTTTCCATAGACCCTAGGGCAGCTATTAGCAGGAGAAAGTGAGAAGGGCAGTCAGTTCCAACCAAACAACTTCAGAAATCCCCTAAACAGGAAGCTTCACGTGCTCCCTTGCTTCCACAACAAGGAACCAGTTCCAATTGTCATTGCACAGGAATAATTTCTCTTTACCTTATTTTTAAAAGTATAATTTTGGCACAGAAAAAGTGGCTGCCTATTAATCTGCAAATGAATCTCTGTCATGAAAAACCTACTCAAGGGGCTGGAGACCTTGGTGGTCTGAGCATCTACCTGGCAAGCACAAGGACTGGGATTCAATCACTGATACTGCATGTGATGCCAGGCCTGGAACCCTATGCACTCTGTACTGGCTATCAAAACCAGGCATGGTGATGCAGACCTGTAATCCTAGCACTGGGGAGACAGACAGGAGGATGACTATGAGACTGAACTGCATAGCAAGAACCTGGTACCAAATAAATAAAGATAGAGAAAAAAAAAAGAAAGAAAAATCTACTTGAATGCAATTCTTACAATGAGAAGTATAACTTAGAATAAAAAGGCCCTTATGAGAATTTCAGCTCACTTTTCTTATGTTTTGCTTTTACTGCTTAGTGTCCAGCAATACTGATGTTCATTCAAATTCCTTATAAAAATAATATTCCTGAACATGTTTCAGTCTCTGTAGGATGAATGAACTATCTCACTCTAAATTCCCTTCCACTAACCACATTGCCCTCCCTATTCCCCAATGGTTCTCCTATCTTCTAGGGATTTTTTTTTCCCAAGTATACCACAGCACATACACTTGTGAGTGGCTGATCTGGTTTGTGTCTTGATGCCCCCAAAAAGCCTCACACAGTCTTAGATTGAGCTTTTTCAGAGGTGGCTGAATCTAGTGTACTGTGATTAAGGCTATGCGATAGTTCTTCATTCATCCTTTCATTTATGCATTAATCTAATACTAAGTGGATGTATTGATTATAGAACCATTTCTTTTTTATATTTTTTTAAATTTTTTATTTATTTATGTGTGTGTGTGTGTGTGTGTGTGTGGCCAGCTCAGCCCATCAGGGGGCGGGGCTGGCTGGCATGTGGTCCTGGGGGATTGAACCACAGTCCCTGCGCTTTGCTA